TTATAGCAATAAGTGCACACATCAAAAGAGAAGAAAGAGCCAAAATCAACACTTTAAACGAACATCTCCAACAAATATTGTTTACAGCAGCTTCACTTATAAAAGCCACAAATTGGAGCAACACTGATTCCATCCACAGTTTAAATAGAAAAACAAACTGGTATCAAAACCGTGGACTACTACAGAGCACCAGCGAACAAACTAGTGATACGTAGGACAACATTGATGAATTCCAAAAAAAAGTAAAGTCATGAGAAAGAAGACAGAACAAAAGAGTACATACTGCAGGATTTTGTTCATATTTACTCATATTGAAGTGAGAACCTTGAGGGAATAGTTCAGTGTTAACTGGGAAGTGGAAGGAGAGAATTTCTCAGGTGATGGATATCTAGTGCCTTGATTACGTAGTGGTCATCCAAATAAACTACATTAGTAAGCATTTATTAAAGGTATGAGTTGGAATCCACTCAACAGTAATGAGTTTGGGGTTTTATACCCATTTCATTGTATGAAATTCATTATCTGTTTTTTAAGAAAACCCTTGTATTCATAAATCACCATAAAGACAGTGAAAAATCGTTTCACCAACAAAGCAGGAGTTTGGTACAGCCGTAGAGAAGAAATTAGTATCACAAAAATCAAGATTATGGCTCCTTGGGCAGAAGAACTTGGGTCATGGTCTTCAATAAATACGTGAATATAAAATCTCTAAATGGGAGAGTAGTTTTCTTAGAAATAAATGAAATAATGATGTATCTTAGCTTCAGTAAAAATATGGTAGTTAAGTATGAGAAGAACTGTTGATCAGAAAAGCTTCTTTGTCACATTCCTGACACCCTAACTAGACCCACCACGCTCCAGTTGGTTCTGACTCTGGCCGCCCTTTACGGCGGGATAGATACACAGTTAAAATCTGCGTTGTTGAGAGCGTGCACCACTTTACCAGTTCCTGTGTGCACGACTCAGTAACGTTGATGCCATCTTTCAAGTTGGGCAGCCATTCCCACCTTCCTGGTCTAGATCATGCCTCCCCCATTCAGGGAAACTCGCTGCCCTTGTAGCTACATTGTAGCTAATGTGTAGAGTTGCTGTTGTCAATTTGATCCCATACAGATCTTAAAAGAGTGCTGTGCTAAAGACAGGCATTTGAGTTTAAGAAGACTGAAGGGCAAAATTAGAACTACGCACAAACTTCACCCAGCGTGACTCAAAGAGGAAAGGACTGTCCGACTAGCAGGGCACCTGCTTATGAGGCCTCTGTGTTTCATAAACGCAGGTCCTGTCTGGCAACATGACCAAGTTATGAACTACACTGACAACCACACGTTGTGGTTTACGTGTGTGGGCTTGCCAACAGTGGAGATTGACTCCATGGCAGCTGGGTTGATGTCTTACGGGAAAATATGTATGACAGAAATTGCCATTTTAGTAACTTTTAATAGTCAATCAGTGACGTCAGTTACTGTTGTGCAGTAATCATCATCATTGCCAAAAGTTTTCATCACTCAAGTAGAACCTTTGTAGCCAAGAGGGAGGAACTCCTAACCTACCAGCTCCTCCACCATTGGTAATCACTAAGGTACTTTCTGTCTGCATTTGCTCTTATAGATATTTCATGTAAGTGGGATCATACAGTATTTGCCCTTTTGTCTGGCTCATTTCACTCAGAGTCATGTTTTCAAGTTCTCCTATGTTATAGCATATGTCAGAACTACATTCCTCTTTATGTAAATACTCCATTGTATGCATATACCCTCATCTGTTGATCTATACGTGGGTTGTTCCACCTGTCAGCTATTGTGAGTAACGCTGCTATGAACATCATTGTACAATTGCAGATGTTAATTTTTAATAGTTATTATTTTGTCAAAACAATTAAAATTCTCCTCCTCTTTTCTAATAGCTCCATCAGGGCACAGTGCCCGTGTCTTACACAGTAACTACCGTGGCACCGCATGGAATCCCACTCTGCACAGGCCAGCACATCCCTGCTTGCAGCGCACAGCAGGTCCCCGGATGCTCGGTGGTTTTCAGTGGACAGCACCTCCCTGTCTGTAGTGTGCCTCCTCCAGTAAGTCTGCATTTGGGTTCTCGTCTGCTCTCGGAGTTCAGCTTGCCAGCCTGGGTTTCGTTTGTGATTGGAATTCATGTTCAGGGCTTCAGTGTCCCAGAGAAGAAAGAGCATTCCTCCAGAGACTGCTTTTGTAGCTTCACTTCCAGTAAAACTCTTAAAAAGACAGTCTTTCTGCAACACGAGTCTCAGTCACATCCATGTAGTCACCATTTAGAAAAGGTCAGGGTTCCCCGGGTGGTACAGACAGCTCCCATGAGGAGCTGCAAATCTGGAAGGGTGGCCTTTCAACTGCACCTGGAGCGGCGCCTGGGAAGAAAGCCCTGGCTGGCTGCTTGTGAAAAATCAGTGGTTGAAAACCACACGGACACACTTGCAGGTGCAGTGAGTCAGAGTTGACAGTAGCTGGTTTTTCTCCTGTATTAATTAAACAATTGAGTGTCTGAGGATTGAACCCTGGTCCCTCATGTCAACGCTGTTTATTAATAAAGCTTGGGAAAGCATGGCCTTGAGGGTAACACAGGGTGTTAGACTAGTTAGTGACTGTCTCCAGAGGCCTTAGGGGTCGATAGTAATATCGTCAGCACATCACGGGTTTCAGTGGGCACTTTGAGTACTTGATCTCATTTATACCTTACGGTAGGAACATGGCTATGAAAAAGTGCCATCCCCATCGTCCAGAGGATGAAGCTGACACGTGAGGTGCCTTGCCCGAGAGAGCGGAGAGCTGCCGTGGGAGAGCAGAGATTCCCTCCTGTTTCTCTCTGCCTCTGGAGCTCGTGCTTGATCCTGTAATTAGCCAGTCTCCATCCAGCTCCCTAAGTGCACACACGAGGGCACTGTGGTAGTTAAGTGTGTGTGTCAACTTGGCTGGGCCTCGTTGAGTGGCTGGGCAACTGGATATAATACGCCCCATGATGGGACTGGTAATCGGCTCCACGGTGGAGTTGACTGTGAGCAGCTGAGGAGCTGTCTTAGGAACATGGTCTGCTTCCTGTGTGTAAGTAGCAGCTTTGGGAATGGTCTCTAGCTTATGGCACGCTTGAACTCCGCATGTAGCCGTGTCATTGTTCAGCAGCCTGCCATGCTCAGTGGACTTGAATCACTGGCCTGACATGTGGTTTGGTAACATTGGGACTGTGCCTTTTTACGTATCAACCTTGGTGCTTGTCAGCCTCAGCGGCCAGCAGCTGTCTGAGTGCAGAAAAGCCTCTAGCTCCAGTGGGCCAAGAGCAAAAGGCAGAGCTGAAGCCCAAGTTGAGGGGCTTTCACCCAGCGCCTAGAGCCTGGCACTCTGCACTCGGACTTGAAGCTTCCGAACTGTAAGAGAATGAACTCCTGTTTGTTAAGGCCATCCCATTTGTGGTACACACGTGGCGGTACCAGTACCAGGTTAACGGACGCAGCTCCCCAAGCTTGGTTTCTCGTTGATAGACTGTAGAGCAGGCTGCTGAAGCTACCAGCTCAAAATATCGAGTGGGCGTAAGGCAGTTGTGAGTGGACTCTTACACATACAAAAATCCTAGAAATAAAAGAATTCTCCAAGATTGAAAAGGGTACTTTCTTGGAGTAGCTACACCTTAAACAAGCAGAGACTCCTCTTCTTCCCAGCACCTTGTCCCCGTCTCATCGATGTTAGAAAGGCTAAAGTCAAAGTTAGGTGTTCTGAGTGATTTGTAAGAGCTGTATGAACTACAGAATGCTGTTAGCTGCCGTCAAGTTGACATCGCCTCGACTCCCGGCAGCCGTGTGTCCGACAGCATCCTGGGCTTGGGCCTGTGCTGTGTTAACTGCCGTCAAGGTGACATGGCCTCGACTCCTGGCAGCCGTGTGTCCGACAACGTCCTGGGCTCGGGCCTGTGTTTTGTTAGCTGTCTAGTGCTGCTGTCACAGAAATGCTAAGAGTGGGCGCCTTCAACAAACAAACTTGGTTCCTCACAGTTTAGGAGGTTGGAAGCCCGGGTTCATGGCACCAGCCCTTGGGAAAGGCTTTCTGTCTCGTTTGGCTCTGAGGGAGATCCTTGTCTCCCTTTGAACGTCTGTGAGTCCGGCACCCCTTGAAGAGCTCTGTGGGCCATAGCATCATTCCTCCCTGGGTCTGGAGGCTCTTAGCACAAGGACTCTGGGTGTTAAGGACACACTCCACTCCTGTTTCTTTCTTGGTGGTCATCAGGTCGGGAGCTCTGGTGGCATAGTACCTAAGGCATGTGACTGCTAACCAGAAGGTGGCGGTTCAAACCCACCAGCCACTCCTTGGAAGGAAGATTGGGCCATCTACTTCCGTAGTGATACTGCCTTGAAAACCCAAGGAGGGGTCGCTGAGTCAGAAACAATTAGATGGCAGTGAGTTTAGTTTTGGTTTTATCAAGTCATTCTTGCTCTGCTTGCTTCTCTCTCCTTTTATCTCTTGACTCAGTGACTAAGGCATTTGACTGCTAACTAGAAGACTGGCAGTTCAAACGTACCGGCTTCTCTGTGGGAGGAAGATGAGGTAAAGATTTACCTCATTGGAAACCCAGCAGTGGTGGTTGTGAGTCAGAATCCACTCGATGGCAGTGGGTTGGGTTTGGTTTTGGTTTAAGATGAAGGGAGATGCAAGCCACACGCCTGCTAAACTCCCCTTACAACTGATTGGCTGATCACATCAGATCATACAGTGGGGGTGATTACATCATTATACAACTGCCAAACCACTGAGAATCATGGCCCAGCCAAGTTGATATGTTTTTGTGGGAGCATGGTTCAAGCCATGACATGCCACCTCAACAGTCACCGACACAGTCAAGTTCATCAGTGCAGCGATTATGTGAGTCTGTTTCACTGAGGGTCTCCCACACCCTCTTTGACCTTTGACTTCACTGAACATGATGTCTTCCTCTGGTGATTGACCCTACCTGGTAATATGTCCAAAGCGAGTGAGTTGGGCAGTGTTCCGTTTCATTGGCTGATTTTCAGAAGGAGACCTGCAGGCCGTTTTTCCTGGTTTGTCTTCGTCTGGAAACTCCATTGAAACCTGTCCACCCTGGATGACCTGCTGGTATTTGAAGTACTGGCGGCCTGACATCCTCACGACACACGGGCCACCTGACATGACAACTGACAGATGTATTATCAATATTTTAATCACAGATGTAAAAATTGGCTAGTATTTCATTGTTACTGTAGGTTATTAAAAACGTTTATAATTATTTTGGAAGTATGGCAATGACAGATTTCAGTCTCTGTGTCTTTTTCTTTTAATTCCATATTCTGATAATTTTAACAACAAAATCGTTGTTTTTCTTACAGATGCTTCAGGCCTGTTCAGTTCAGCACTTACCGGTGCCGTATGCTGCGTTCCCACCCCTTCTCTCCAGTGACCCCTTTCTCTTACACCCTCCTCACCTCTCTCCACACCACCCTCCTCATTTGCCACCCCCAGGCCAGTTTGTCCCTTTCCAGACACAGCAGTCACGGTCGGTAGGTATCTCTGGTTTTGTCTTTAATTTTCCCAGAACATTTAGACCTCAGGCACATTAGTTTAGCACATGGACAATGTGACCATTTAAAAACTACAACTTTGCTTCTTAAAAGAATTGAAGAAATTCAGAGACATACAAGTTAGTATACACAGACATATTTACTTAGAATTGTGTTAGATATTTAAATTTTTCTTGTTCTGTTCTATGTCCATTGTCTAAGTTTGTCCTGCTTCTTCATATTTGTAATCTTGGAAAAGGAAGTAAATCTGAAGACAGATTTTCATTTAGTTGTAGTTTTTCCTTTTATGTGTTTCTAAATTAGTGGAAATATAAGACTGTTATAATTTCTGTAACTTGAGCCTCACTTACCGTTTCCAAAAGGTGAGACGAGCCTTGTCTTCTGCAGTGTTTTTATGAACAACAACTGAGATAATCTGTTACAACATCATTCTGCATTCTGTCCGGGAGTTGGGTTGTAGCTGAGAGGCATAGTGCTGGGGGGGGGGGGTCTATAAAACACACAGGATGAGGACCAGGTATTGGTGCAGGCGAGGGTTAGCATTTGAGCCTTCAGACGTTGAGAAAGAACAGAAGAGAGAGGGTGAGGCTTATTGGCATGGGGGCTCTCAGCCCTGTGGAAGGAAGGTGACTGTCAGAGCAGAGCGTCCCCGAGCGTCCCCATCCTTCACTAAGGGTGCCACGTGGAGCACCAGAGAGCGTGGGCTGATCTTAGGGAGGAAGCCAGGATAGCATTTAAAGACACATGTTCTCAGGAGAATTAAAAATACGTCCACACAGAAATGTGTAGCGCGTAGACATTCCCAGCAGCCTTAGTCCTAATCGGCAAAGAGTGGAAGCAGCGCCCGTATCCATCAGCTGATTGGAGGTAAACAAAGTGCTTTATCCATTCAGTGGAACATCAGTCACAAAACGAATGAAGTGCTGATACAAGCCACAGTGTGAGCGAACGTGAAACATCATCCTGAGTGACAGGGTGAGCCACCGAAGGCCACATACTGTGTGATTTCAGTTATGGAATGTTCAGACAACGAAATGCCTAGAAACAGAAGTCGATCAGCGATCGTCTGAGGCTGAGGAGAGTGTTGGTGGGAAACGGGAGTGCCTGCTAGCAGGGTTGCTGTCTGAGGGGATGGAAATGTTCTGAAATTACTGATGATGATTCTCTGGCACTGTAGGCTTGGAAAAAGGGTGAATTGTCTCGTATGTGAGTTTTATCTGTTACGAAAAGAATCTCTGCGTTTGCACAGCACTGTGTGCTTTCTGTGTCCATTGACCAACACACAGCCCGTCTGAGTGTGAACATGGTGGCTGGTGTAGATGATGACGGGACTGAGGCTCAGAGTGAGTCGTTTATCTCAGAGTCACATGGCTGATTAATGACAGCACCGGAGTCTGTCTGATACCAAAGCCCTTCTCCTCCAGCATGGTGCCTTCCGTGTCTTGCCCCTTCAAGTCCTGGTTTTGATTTGTAACAAAACTTCCTTCTCCATTCTCAGTCCTGTGAGTCGGTCAGGGTACCATGAATAAAAAGCAATTATAGCTAGTACGTAATTGTAATTGGTTTACCACATGACTCTCTGTGTCTGTCTGTGAAAATGAAAGTTCAAATCGTGAAAGAAGTAGATGCTTAATGTGTGTATTGAGCAGCTTGGTTACTGAGTGAAATCAAAAGTCAGAAGACTTTGCTGGACACCAGCTGTCCGCCTGTGTGACTTGAGACCAGAGTGAATGTTTAGGGACAGATGCTCTTCAAGGTGAGGTAGGGAGTTTGGGGATTTTTTGTTCATTATAAAGTGCTGTCTAAACACCAGCAGTACACCCCTTTGCTTTCTTGCTTCCCTCAGCCTCTGCAGAGGATAGAGAATGAAGTGGAGCTCTTAGGAGAGCACCTCCCGGTGGGAGGTTTTACCTACCCGCCCTCGGCCCATGCCCCGACATTACCTCCGTCGGCTCCTCTGCAGTTCTTGGCACACGACCCTTTGCATCAGGAGGTGTCCTTCGGAGTAGTAAGTGCTTTGTGCTGTGTTTGTTTCTTTTGAGTTGTGTTTCAGTGTAACTCAACATGTTTACAGTTTTCGGTGTTTCTTGAAACTATCCACTTGGAAAATTGTATTTAGAAGTCCACCTGATGTGTGATTTAATCTGGTTGTCACATCTGTACTGTTAACATACACACAATATTAATTTCCACTGTCTAGGCTCTAAAAAACAAGAGCCTTTATTGGGCAGATTAGCTAGTTGCGAAGGAGAACGACCTGAACGATGTTGCCGTTCCCCCTCCAGCCTTACCCTCCATTTATGCCTCGGAGACTCGCAGGACGCAGCAGATACAGGTCCCAGCAGCCGGTGCCGCCTCCCCCTTACCACCCCAGCCTACTGCCATACGTGCTGTAAGTTCTCTCCTGTGGCTTCTGGTTTTTGACACCTGTGAAATTCTTGTTCCTTTATGAGCATCTTCTGTGTAGTGTATCACTTAGGGTGTCTTTGATACTCAAGATATTATGTACATTGAGGGGTTGGAGTGGAGGCCAGTAAAGGGTGAAGGAAAGGGAAGAGTGGAGACATGGGAGATGTGGGGAGGGAAGAACTTTGGAACAAAAACAGGTTTAACAGACCCAGGGTGGAAGGGCCATGGCTAAGACCTGGGCCTCGTGCACGCGTGTCACTTGCCCCCTCCTCTGCCTTCCCGGCTTTCCGGTTGGCGCTTCTCTCCAGGAGAAGGAAGAAAGGTTATTTGTGTCTTAGAGTCATCCTGTTAGCAGTAAGTGTGTCTGCCGCAGAAACACTTGGAAGTTGAACACACTTGTTCTTTATTTCTGTCTCGTAAAGAATTCTGGAAGCAGGAAATCGAAGCAGATGACTGTGAGGGATGGCCCCCCAGCCTCCCGTCATAGGGCTTCCACCACCTAATCTGAGATGGCTCTGAGACACTAGCCATCATGTGCACATTCCAGCTGACGGAGAATGAACATGCCTCCCTCCACAGACGGCCCTGGGAGTTGTGCGTGTCATCCACACTTCCATCCCTGTGGCCAGAACTTGGTCACACTGCTTGCTGGGTAGGCCGGGACATGTCTTCGTGTCAGAGGGCCACGTGCCTGTATCATACTTTCCACAGTTGTAGTTTCAAGTCTTAAAATCAGATAGGATAAGTCTTCCGGCTTTGTTCTTCAAACCCTGATGGCTGAAGGAATGACTGAACTGTCAACGCTGGTGTCTGTTTCTGCTGCAGATCGATGCTTCCGGTGCCACCCACAGTGGGCCCAACTGTTAGCTTTGAGTTGGACGTGGAAGATGGAGAAGTAGAAAATTACGAGGTAAGTGGGTGAATTGTGGGGTACCTTTCTGAGTATGTGTGCAGAAAAGTATTGTCCTGCTCATCTGGTTCAGCTAATTAAACATTTAATAGGCAAACACTCTGTGCACTTTGAGATACAAATACGTCCCCAAAGTGTTTGGCAAACTTCAGGAACACAAGCCACGACAATGAGGTGGACTTGGTTGCTCTGAGGAGTTACACACAAGCCCTGGGAGAGCGCAGATGTGCACAGAGGGGCCCGTGACTGGGTGTTCCGACAGGGTTTGCTAGAAGCAGACATGATTGGGCTGCATGTTGAGCATTGGAGGGGTTTTTTCACTCACAGGATTGAGTCAGGGAGGTGTGGGATGTTCTTGGGGAACAGTACGTAGTCCCTGGCTGTAGCGAAAGGGAGAGAATGGAAATTTGATTAGAAACTCCTCTGGTTTTCCCTTCACTGTTAATGTTGTGGGAGAGGGAGGAGCTGCTGGACAGTTTCGTGCTCATAAATGAGATCTCTGCCTTGAAGTCACAGATGGAAGGGTTAGGAGTTGAGCTGGTGCAGAGAACCTGTTTCAGTGTCCGTAGGCCAGGCAGGAGATGACAGAGCTGTGCAGGTTCCGGCCTGTGGGACTGCAAAGAGAAGAGGGAGCCCAGCTTTGAGAGCCAAGGAAACGGCAGCAGCAGTAGGACTCCATCACTGAACGTCGTGGTGGTTCTGAAGGTAGCCGAAGAGGACGTTCTGCAGAAGCGGAGTGCAGTTGCCGTGGGGGCTCCCGTTTGGATGAGGCTGACGGACTGTAGTGGTGGAGGTTAGGGCCATAGGAGGGCGGCTTGGAGGCCTGAGAGGTGGGTTTGCGTTTGGATGTCTGGAATGTCAGTGGCCGTATGACTTCAGTCTGACCCTGCCAGCCATCCTACTTTCCTCAGCCTCGGTCACTCTCTGTTCTCACAAGAGGAGTAATTCCATGGAATAGAAGGGCTTGGCAGCTGCGTCAAACTTGGAGGTTGGGGCGGGAAGACTGCACACGTGCAGGTCTCCTGAATCGGGCTTTTGGCGCACATGGGAGAGAGCTGGCCGCTGCGGGTTCTTCTGCAGTTGTTCAGGGTGCTGGCTGGGCAGTGGCTGCCCGCAGTGTTCTGGTGGTTTCTGTTCCCCGAGTTCTAGAGAGGAAGGGGCAGTGATAACATCTTGGTTCCGTTTCTCTCTGTCAGTCTGTTGTCCGCAGTCAGGAGTAACAGCAGCTGTCTAAGGCTTTAGGCAGTCTGTGCTGAAACCGGTCTGTTACACGTCCCGCTGTTCGTTAAACAGATCTCGAGCATCTCAAAGATGGCATTGCCTTAAACCTGCCAGCAGTCCCAGTAGCAGGTACAATGTAGATGTTATTTCTCACACACAGACCAGTGGAAACAGCCATCACAGAAGGAAATGTTCTGTACTTGGCATTGCAGGCCCTTTCTAATCTGAAATTTGGGGTTGAGTATTTCCATATTCTGCAAAGTTATGCTTAGAGCCAATCAGGAAGGTTTTTTTTTTTTTCCTTTTTGTGTTTTATCTCCTAATGTGAACCCTGCAGTGCTCCCGGGCCTGGCTCTCTCCAGAATACCACCATTCTTTGAGTCTACTCTATACATTATTGGTGCTTTACTCACCTTCCTTCTGCCTACGAACTGTTTCCCCTTCCTCCACATTTTGAAAGCATAGCCATCTTTCAGGACTCGGCTCAGACACTGCTCCCTGCATCAGAGACACTGGTCGGCCGTCCCCCAGATGTAAATGGGTCTTCTCTCCTTCAAGTCCTTATGCTTACAGTTCTTGATGGCTGCGTGTCCTGCCTGCTCAAAACTCAGCCCACTGATATCAAGTCGATTCTGCCTCCTGGCGCCCCCGCTGGGTTTCTAAGGCTGGTACTCTTTACAGAAGTAGACTGCCTCTTTCTTCCACAGAGCAGTTGATAGCTTTGAACTGCCGACCTTCTGGTTAGCAGCCAAATGCCTTAACCACTACACCACCAGAGCTCCTATGTTTGCTTGCTCAGTCTTAGAGATTTGCTGATGGTCTGATCATCACTAACACTCTTCCTCCAATAAGGGCTTAATGAGCATATTTAATTGAATAAAATTGCCCTGAATTATATTAACTGGACTTGAGTGTCCTATGAAATATTCAGAAGAGGAGGGACAAGTGATATCTCATAAATGGGGCTTACAATTGGTATGGTAATTATTATCTGCATCGATTAAATTTAACAGGTCACCTTCTAACATGGAAAAGGTGTAGGGTGTGTGGTAAAAGGGGGCCAGTTTGTTTAGATGACCCAGCTCTGTAAATGAAGCTGCTCTTCAGGAAGGGTTGTGATGTTACCCTGTTAGGTCACGTACACAGCTGTCACCGAGCCTGATATTGAGGGGGTGTGATGTGAATTCTGCTCTTCTCATTGTGGATCACCTTTCCTGTGTTCACATTTCCCTAATGCTGGGCCCACCTGAGCCAAGAAGGGTAAAGCAGCTGAGGGGTTAACCCATTGAGAAGTGGAGGAAGGCAACACGGCCACAGGGCGGTAAGCGTCATCGCAGTAGAGAGAGACCCGTCAAGTGGGCCGAGCCCTGAGCGCCTGGTGACACCTGAAAGAAGAGAAGGAGAAACCTCTGGTCTCCTTTACCCTGCCGTCTTGGTATAAATACTGAGCACAGTTGGGTATACGGACTAAAGAACGACAGAGTTGAGATATTCCTGGTTTGCCCTCTTCAATGAGCTCCAGTGGATGTAGGCAGGGAGACAAGGTGGGCCTTACGATGGAACTAGTCAGACCTCTCCCTCTAACCACCGAGTTACAGAAAGTACCGAGGGCGAGGAGCACATACACCGCTCGCAGCAGGAGGAGCTTAGACTGCAGGAGAGTCTGCAGGTCACTGACCGCTTTCTTCAAGAAATAGAAGCAGAAAAAGAGAGACGGGAAGAGTAGCCAGCAGTGGGAATGTGGGGCTTGAGTTGGTTCCTGATTTGAACTATTTTAAAGTATTTTTGTTTAAATAACTGGGACACTCAGGGACATGTGAGCGCTGATTGGATAGTTGATGTTTTAGAAATGGTTCCTTTTTCAGGTGTGATGATATCATTGTTACGGTTTTTGTTTTGTTTTTTAACATCTTAATCCTTTAGAACGGCGGTTCCCAACCAGGGAGCAATAGTCATCCCCACCCCGACCCCAGGGGGATGTGGGCAATGTCTGGAGACATTTTTGTTTGACGGTTGGTGGTGGTGGTGAGAGTACCACTGGCATCTCATGGGTAGAGGCTAGGGATTTTGCTATACATCCTACAATGCCCAGGGCTGCCCCCCACAACAAATAATTACCCAGCCCAAATGGTGTGAGTGCCAAGGCTGACTGACAGTTGGAGAGAAACACAGACTATTTGACCAATGAAAAAATAACATGTTTCAAAATAATCTGGGGGAGGGGGGAGTCATCAGCACCTGGAATGAGGTTAGCCACAGGTGGCTTCACTACACCCTGTCTCTAGTGTGTGTATCGCTTTGCTTGTAGTTCAAATTTCCCGCAGTGAAGACTTTTTTTTTTTTTTTTTTTTAATTAGAATAAGAAATTCTTCCTTAGATGCAAATGTCGCCTCTTCTCTTGCAGGCCCTGCTAAACCTGGCGGAGCGGCTGGGGGAGGCTAAGCCCCGAGGACTCACGAAAGCGGACATCGAACAGCTTCCTTCTTACAGGTTTAACCCGAACAACCACCAGTCAGAGCAGACCTTGTGAGTATGCGTTCTGGCCTCGTGCGTGTCAGCATGTGTTTCCACCTCTATGAAATGAGAGCTGGAAAGGCACAAGTAACTGGGTCAAAGGAAGTTTTCTCCATTTCCGACTAGACCTATGCTCTCCTATAAAGTAGCCACTGGTACGAGTGGCTTCTTAAATTGAACATTCAGTTTCTTAGTGGCACTAATAGCTACCACGTTGGAAGATGCGGAACATTCCTGTCATCTCAGAAAATTCTCTTACCCTGTGGTGAGTTTTTAGGTTACCTCGATGTTTCATGTTTTCTAATTTGAACTTTAGAATATTTATATATAAAACTAAAAAATCTCATAGCACATAAAATTGGTATTTTTAACAGAACATTTTGCTTATTACCATGTTTTTTTTCTAATAATAGCTTTAAAGAGTACAGTCCACAAGTTTTTAGTATACTGATGGAGTTGTGTAACCATCACCATAATCAGATTCAGGACATTTCCATCACCCCAAAGAAGAAACCCTGTAGCCATTACCCTCAATCTCCATTTGTCCTCCCGGCCCCACCCTCCAGCCCCCAGCGAGTGCACATGTGCGTTAGGGTTTGCCTGCTCAAAACACTGTACGTGGAGCCCATACTGTCGGTTTTTAGGGACTCCTTTCGCTCAGCTGGTCATGTCTCAAGGAGTGTCTGTGTCGTAGTGTATTAGCACTTCGTCTCTCCTCATCAACAAGTAACCTGTCGTTGCACGCTTGGACCACGCACGCCTCACCCACTCCCCAGCTGAGGGTCCTCCCAGCTGTTGTGGATCGTGCTGCTGTGTACATGCATGTACGCGTTTGTGGTGAATGCCTGTGTGTGCTGTGTTTGGGTGTGTAGCCAGGAGTGGGATTAGGAGGGCATGTGGTCATTCTGGTTTTCACTCACTGGGGGGGGTCTGCCAGCCGTTTACGCACACACACTGCCCTCCTGCCTTCCCGCCAGTTCCCCTGCATCCCCAACATTGTTCTTTTCCTTTTTCTTTTTAATGGACACCATCCTAGTGGGTGCGAAGTGTCATCTTACTGTGGTGTGATTTGCATTTACCTCGTGGCTGATGAGTTTGAACACTGTCTCCTGTGCTTATTGACCATTTGTCATCTTGAGAGAGGTGTCTGCAGATCCTTCATCCTCTTTGAATTAGGTTGTCATTTTAGTATTGAGTCGTAATCGTTCTTTGTGTGTTCTTGGCATAACCCCTTACCAGAGAGGTGATTTTCGAAAACATTGCCTAGTCTCTGAACTGTCTTTTCAGTTTCCCGAGCTCAGTTTCTTTGAGGCACAAAGGTTTTGAATTTATTGAAGCCCCAATGACGTTTCCCATTGTTGCTTGTGCTTTTGGTGTTTTATCCAAGAAGCAGTTGCTAGTCCAAGGTCATGAAGTTGTACATCTGTACTTTCTTCCAAGAGTTTAATAATTTAGCTCCTAGCATTTCAGCCTTTGGTGGATTTTGAGTTAATTTTCCCTGTGGTGTGAGGGACAGGTTCCACTTCATTCCCTCGTGTGGATATCCACTTGTTCCACTGCCATTTATTGAACACTTCAGTGTCTCCCCTATTAAGACTGACATGGGCATTACTTGAACCTTTATTTATTTACTTTTTTAAATCTCAATAAAGCACTGTTATGGTACTAAATGCCTTAACACCATGATCGTTGTTAGATCATTTTTGTCTAGAAATTTAAATAGAAGTTCAGTAAGTGTGATGATAAGTGATTTTTGCAGGCTTTAGTCATTGTAACAAAAAGAAAACCGACCAGGTTTGTGGTGACATGATCTCTCTGCTTCTTCCAGGTGTGTAGTGTGCATGTGTGATTTTGAGTCAAGGCAGCTACTTAGAGTCTTACCCTGTAACCACGAGTTCCACGCCAAGTGTGTCGACAAATGGCTTAAGGTAAAGTGCCAGCACCCATGCAGGAGGTATCATTGTTTGTCTGTTTTCTTTCTCCCCTTTTTGACTGGCCCTTGGCTCACACAGAATAAGCTTAGCTTACCAAGCCCGTGGTCTGGCAGAGGAGGGTGGGGGAGGTAATGTGAGACGAGCCTCGCTGTGGTGTCTGCTAAAGAAAGGAGATGGCCAGCAGCTGTGCACCAGGGTCAGCAACATGGCAGTTAGTGTCCAGACCCCAGGAATGCCTTCTCTGTGCTGGAGGGGTCATCTAAGGCCTGGCTGCCTTGTGATGTGCAGGGACAAGGGCTGAACTTGGTAGGCCACAGTTGCCTTGAGAGTTTAAAAGGGCCATCACTGGAGCGCCCTGTTTGGAGGTTTGTGGGGTAAGCAAACTGATACTTTTATTCAACCCTGTAGTGCCATATAGCATCAGTTTGTATCTGTGAAAAATGCCCAAAGGGCACAGATTCTGACAGCGATTAGGCCAGGGCAGAGGGCCTGTTTGTTTGTTTGTTTTACTGTTCCTATTTTCATAGTCATAAATTACAGGAGTAAAATAAACGTGTGACCTGGTGAAGGCATTTCAGTAAGAGGCCCCTCTCCTGCCGACAGAACATTGAGGTCACTGTCTGCTGCGTGGCACTGATGTGTCGGCACGCAGACCGTTTTCAGACTGATGGAGTGAGGACTCAGAGCGGCGCTGGGGAAGCATGGAACTGTCTGCTGCGTTGGCTTCTGTGCTTCCCACACCCCAGGTGGTGCGTCCGGGGACACTGTCTCACTGTCCCTGTCTCACTCCCAGGTCTCACACCAGCTGAGGTGGCACCGTCATCTCTGGCTTCCTGCCTTGCGTTGTCATGATAATCTGCTCTCTCTCGGCTTAAGATCAACAGCTAGCTGTTTTTTCTTTCTCATTTTTTCTAATTCTCTACTGTGTTTTGATGAACGTTTACACAGCCCGTCAGGTTCTCCTTGAGCAGTTTCTCCCCAGGTTGCTCAGTGATGCCGGCGGCCTGCCTCTGAACAGTGTGCCGCCATTCTCCCTGTCTGTGTTCAGGTTGTCCCATCGTTTCCACTGGTCTGGTTCCCTCGCCGCCTCCCCTTCGGTCTTGGCTTGAAAGCCAGCGCGGACTGTTTGTTAAGTAGATGACTTCTGCCAGGAGCTCAGTGCTGGGGATAATTGTCTTTATTTTGTGAGCTAATGTATTTTTTTTAGTTCTGTTATTTATTGAGTATTTATTTGTTTTTATGTATTACTTAGCTCATAGTGACTTGAAGGCATAGCTTTCGGTTCAAGGTTTGAAGGGTATCTTAGGGGAGTCCTCTAGTCTCAACCAGTCCAATAAATGTGGAGTTTTTAAGAATTTGAGTTCTGTTCCATATTTTTCTCCCATCTGTCAACTTTTTCTTGCCATTTGGAGATGATAATACTGGGTTATGTAATGCCACAGTTTGATGAGGAAGACGACAGATAAGAAAAGAGTTGAGATGGACTGTAATGAGCCTTTTGAGTGAACACAGACAGGAACACTGCCTTGCCTAGTGAAGCATAAAGTCTTCACTTTTCAGCAAAAGACAGCAATTCTGTGAGCAGGGTCGTCGTGCAGGAGAAACTCCAGTCCTGTGTGGCTGCTGGCTGAGGAACGAGGGGAGTGGCCAGAGGAGAGCTGTGTGTGGAGGCCTGGCCAGTGACCAGCTTGTGGAGGGCGACAGTGCGCAGGGGTCTGGATTTGATCCTGAAAAACCAGTGGGGTTTTCAGATAGGACTGAGGGGTGTTTTAGAAAGACCACCAGCAGCCACTGCGGAAGAATGGAAGAGGTAGCGTCTGATGGGGAGATGGGACGAGGACAGCTTGGACCAGCAAGAACTGGAGAGTGGCAACCAGATGAAATGACTGAGTGAAAAGTGCCCATACCGCAGGCGTGGCATGACCTGGTGGGAAAGGTTGTAGGAAATGCGAGAGCTGCTGCTTTTCCGGCTTCAGCGAGTGGCGGTGCCATCGCTGACGAGGAGGAAGGAGAGGGTTGGGGCCACGGGAGGGTTGAGGAAGACGCGATCGCCTGCTTCGTAATCTTTGTGGCCAGGGGTTTCGGTAGCTTCATTTCATAAAGAACAGCCACAGTGCTGCTTTTAAGTCAGGAATTCAACTCGCGGGAACTGTCATGGGAAATCTTACCTACCGATGGGACAGACCTATTTAAAAAGAGAATCATGGGCTGTTAATTGAGGTTAGTGGTGTTTTTTTTCGTTTTTTTTTTTTTTTTAAAGACAATTAAATGATTTTACTTCCTTAAAGGAACAAGAACATAACTACATGGGAAGTTGCTGAGACAAGCTTCCTCTTTTGTTTTACAGGCAAATCGAACTTGCCCAATTTGCCGGGCCGACGCTTCAGAAGTGCATCGGGATTCCGAATGACCAACCTAAGAGCACAAGTCCAGTTTGGGTGTTCCTTATCACATGTATATACGGACTGTCCATGAACGTCATCTGTGTGGCTTCCTGCCCCTCCCTGCACCAAAAGGGTCGATGGGCCTCTCTTTGCACTGTGTGACTCAACCAACTATAAAAGCTTACACTTAGTGTTCACAGTTATGGGATTGTTCTACTAACCGTGTGATTGGAACTCCAAAGACTTCTTTAGCTTACCTTTGTGTGTGCACTAACATTCCCTGGTTTCTGTGTGATCATTCCGAGTGTTGCTGCCAGGTGACAGTGGACGTGGTCTGCAGCGTGTTGCTTCCATGGAACGTGGTAGCTCCAGACGACATAGCAATCTACCTTACCTAGAGCCTTCAGAAACTGTGAGTGGGAGTGGCATGCTGCGTGCCTGTCGCCGAGCAGTGTCTGTGTGTGAGAGTGTGTGTGTGCAGCTCCCTGTGAGGGCGTGTAGCTCACGTGTGTGTGAGAGCCTATATACCAGCATGTACCAAGAATGTGTGTGTAGTTGTAATGATGCTGCAATGTATAATCTGGTGTGTTTTTGAACCGCACTAGTACTGTACACTGGTCCCCTTGTGTTTGCTGTTGCACACTGATGGCTGAGGGTGCACCCGTTTGAAGCATCAGACCCCCCCCAGCGAGCGGAATGAGAACGGCCTTCGTCCTGGGCTTTTGGCAGCTGCCGCCTTGTCTGCAGCGGTGTCCTGAGTGGGTCACTCGAGGAAAAAAGTAGAGCGGAGCCTCACTCCATGAACCTGATTTTTTTATTCTGTCGTGAAAAATTTTTCAATCTCCAACTTGCTGTTTCCAAAAAGAAGGTGCGATTTCACCGTCATCAGTTAGCAATACACGCGTTTCCTGCAGTCATTTGAATGTTGACACTGCCTTGTCCCCTTACCTTTCCAGGAAGCTTGTGACATGAAGCACCTGGGATGTTTGTTGTTTGTTTTTTTCCTTAGTGTTTAGACTTGTAGTCTATTTTGAAGGTATTTGAGTAATATATTTTTAAGAAAACCACTGGTCCCATGAAGTCTTACCTTTGGGTTTCTACCAGACGACACCTGTTAACTGACTCAGCTTGACCCCTGAGTTGCATTCTTCGTCCGGGCCCCCAGAGACAGCGAGGTTGGGTTAAGAACACGAGACTCTTTCTGCGTTAGTTCACCGGCCAGGCTCCAAGTCTAAAGTTGTCTGGTCCTTCCCGCAGTACACGTGCTTCGTATCGAAACCCTTTGTCAGCATGCAGCAAGTGCTGTGGCAGCTGGTGTTCCTCAGGCCTCATTTCCTTTGACGTTTTACCTGTTTTTCCTGTAAGTTTTTGTTTGAGAAAAGCTGAATACAGCTGGTGTCCAGAGTACTTGCAGTATAAATGAAGATTTGATTTTTGTATAAAAAACTAATGCTGTGAAACGAGAACGGACCTTCATTTAGCCGAGCTGACGAATCCACGGCTGTGAGTGGTTTTAACAGGTGCGTTGAGTGTGAGTGTTGAGCGTCATCTGTCCAGCAGCGTTTCGCCCCCACGTCGGTTAGTGGGTCAGCGCCGTCTGCCTCTCCCTGCCCTCGTTGCTTTGTCGGCGGCAGCACAGGCTGCGTGCCTGCCAGCAGGACTGTGCTGACTGGCTGCCGGCCCCACGCGGCTCTGTTGGCTGTGTGTCGGCTTCTCCGAGACAGTGCTAACTACTTGCTCCTGTCCTGCCACTTCCCCTCCCTCGGCGTCTCTCTGAGCTCATGGCAGCCTAGAGCTCAGTGAAGTCACTTCATACAGAAGCACAATTCTGCCCTCCAGACCTGTTGCCTCTACCTACTTAGCAGACAGGACTCGCATCCTTTGTGTTGGCCGTAGACTGGTCAGCACGTCCGGAACATGCCTGGCAGTGGCAGGCGCGCACGCTGTGTTGAGGTCACCAGGACGTCCCCGCCTACTCGTGATGAGCGAGAAGTGTGTCAGAGACCAAAACTAGCAGCAGCAGCAGCTCCGTGCAAATCACCTACAGTTTTCATCTTTTTTTTTTTTTTTTTTTTTAATTAAAAATCATGTTAAAAATGGCAAAGGCCCATCTTCATATAGACTTTTATAGCTTCCAAAAATTTATATCTGTACAGATCTAAATAACACTATGACACTCAGTATTCATTTTATCAAAGCATGCAAATAAAGCACTTTTTCTAATTTATATAAGATACCTACTTAACACAGCACATCTTACTAATGACCAGGAGAAGTAGCTGTTCCTTCCCTCCCTCCAACTGGATTCTTGTCATGATGTCCCTTCTCCAGGAAAGGGTTGAGAGGCCGTGGGCAGTGGAGGCCACAGGGTCTGTTTTGGTAAAATCCTGAGTGAATTGTTGCACTCCCGTGACTGGCCTCTCTGGAAATGTCTTCTCTTTGCATGGGGCTCTTAGAGAAGTGTGCAGACTTAGGAAATGGTTCGTGCATATTAAGAGCACACGAGCGTGTGTTCTGCACCAGCTCAGAGCAGCCACAGTGAGCAGCTTCGTGGCTAGCAGAGGAGGAGGACCGGGTACACGCCTGACTCCTCACTTCAGGTGAGGCGCCAGATGGCAGCCTCGCGTTGGTTTATTACCTTCCTCCTCTTCCTTCCCAGACTCTTACTGGCTTGACCATCTGAACTCTGCTGTGGGTTTTTTGGTTTTGTTATTTTTGTGTGTGTGTATGAATTGTTAATTCATTTGATTTTCTTTTATTAAACCCCTCCCCCAAGACACATACACACATACACAAAGTCAAGGCCTCCAGGTATCAAGATCTCAGATTAGTACTTTTTTTTTTTTTTTTTAAGCAAAATCTGGAAAATGTGAGCACATTTAGATTTTCTATACTCTCTGAAATATGCTTTGTTAAGATTCTTAAATTTGGACCTCTTGTAACATTTTGAATGAGATCTACTGAGTCACCCACAAGCGTGTTTTCCACCGATCTCGTCAGGCCTTCCTCGGGAAGCGATTTTCCCCTGTTGGTACCTTGGTTACCTCCTTTCGTTGTTTCAGATTATGAAAGCTTCCAGGGGTGTTTTTCAGAATCATTTGCTGAGTCATTTTCTCGAATCATATTCCATTGTATCAGTTAACATATAGTTTTAAATGTACGTATTATAAATACCTGTAACCAAATCATTTGAAGGCTTGATAAATTTTTAACAAAGTTTGTACATTTTTTATGAAAGTTACTAGTAATGCTTTACTAAGTAGTGCAATGAATTTTTATTTTTAATCCCTGTGCCCGATTTTGGAGTTGAGAGGGTTGTTGGTAATAAACGGATGATGTACACTTACACTGTTTGGTTGTCTGTCACACCACTGTGTTAGGGAAGGGCGGGGTCGTGTGTGTGTGTGTGTGTGACAGGTGAGGGCCTCAGCCGGAGGACGACTGCTGCGCTCCTAGCTGCCGGGTTTAGTTGTGTTTCTGCGTTTGTGTGAACAATTTAGAAACCCAGAAACAAATCTGCATGATCAGATGTGTTCTCTGGAAGGCCAGGAAGATAGGGAAAGCATAGCCACACGTGTGGCAGATGCATGTTGAGCCAGGGACACGCATGCAGGCAGACAGCTAGAGCTCTTTCTGTGTATGTTCACCATGTGGTGCAGGACACAAGATCACACTGTAACTGGCCCTTCTGGCCATGTTCGCTACAGCTGACGTTGAACTTCTTGTCAGCATCGTACGGGAAGGGGAAGCTGCTTGCCATTTCCCATATCTGTCTGTGTAATAGTTTACCTTTGACTTGAAGAGGAAGAAAATAAAACCCTGCTACTTAGACATCTTGCCTGTGTCCCTTGCGAAGGAGAGTAGAAACAAAAGCGAAGGACATGGATGCCATCCTCTGTGCTCCAGTGACAGGAGCTCTGAGGCTTCCAGGAAGTTGGCCAAGGTCTGCCCCACCCCCGATTTTTCTAGCCCACTGAAAATGATACGTGTAGTATTAGACTTTAACCTCAGTGCATCGAAGACCTAAATGGAGGAGTTTAAATATCTTAGAAGAAGGCAGGAGTAAATCTCTCTGGCCCTGGATTGGGTGTTGGCTGACCTCCAAAGCACAGGCAACAGAATAACATCATCACGTGAAAACATGCATCAGAGGACACTGCGTTGGTTACCCTTTTGCTGCTCTAACAGAAATGGCACAGATGGGAGGCTTTATTCTCACACAGTTCGGGAGGAGACAAGTCCGAGTTCAAAGTGCCAGCTCTGGGGGCTGGGTGAAAGCCCCTCGACCTTGGGCTTCAGCTCTGCCTCTTGCTCCCGGCCCACTGGAGCTGGAGGTGTCTCTTCATTCAGGCAGCTGTTGGCTCCTGAGGCCGACAGACCCAAGGTCAATGAGTAAGATGGCACAGTCCAAAGATTATGAGGCAACACAGCAAGTCACCGGTTCAAATCCCAAACCAGTCCCACGATCAGCTGCTGACTGAAGCCTCGGCCGCGTGCAGAGTCCAAGACCTTCCTCAAAGCCGCCCATGTGCTGGAAGCAGACCACGTCGCTGAGGCCCAGCCGCTCAGCGCACCTTCCCCCGTGGAGGTGAGTACAGTCTCACCATGGGGAATAACTGGTTCCAGCTGCCCAGCCACTCAAAACCAGGTCCAGCCAAGTTGACATACAGTTTAAGTACCACAGTTCCATCCCTTGTCAGCTTGGCACCATGCGCATCTTCACTGGCTGGCGACAGTCCCTCGTTCACCCGGCAGGCCCTGTTGGTCCTCTGCCTCCCGGGCATGGCAGCCCTGCCCTTCACTTTGGGGCAGCAGTTCTGGCTCCGTCCACAGGCGCTCGTGAACAGCAGCCCCCCACTCCCGAACCAAACTGATGGTCTGACCGACCCCTAGGAGGCTGTGGTGTGTCCACCTGAGGCCATGGTCCTGCCCTTTGAAGCCGAGGCAGCTCTGCAGCCCGTTTCTTTGGTCGCAGCTTCTGCCAGTTAGTGCCCGAGGACAGCCCACTCTGCCAGGAATCTTCCTG